GACCTGCTGCAACAAACAGCAGAGCCAGATGTTTCTGCAAGAGCCCGCTACCCAAGTCCAGACCTAAGTAGTGGTTCTCATCACCCTAGCGATATGTGCCTTTGCCCAGATGGGAATTTTAATCTGTTGGGGTTTACAGTCAAGGTACAGCAAAGATTCCTTGGCTTGACTTGGATGCTATTGCTCAGGACACTAGGCAGTGCCAGACACTATCTATTTCATAGCATCCGGTTTTAGCAAACACACGGAAAAGAGATGTGTGTAGACCAGCGGATCCAAAACTCTGACAGCTTGCGCACCACCAATTTAAAACGATACAACCTTAGGTATCACCAGCACATTTTTCAGCTCAACCTTAAGTGCCACCAGCAAATTTTTGTCTTATAAAGTAATTATAATCAATCTGTTAATGCGTACCACTGACAGGTTGCCTGCATACCACTGGTGGTACCCGTACTACAGATTGGGAACTGCTGGTCTAGATCCAAAGTAATGATTTCTTGTATATTATGCCAGACGGGATGGCAGCTGAGTTTTGTTGCATTTACAGTCTCAAACTCATAGATTCATAGATTGTAAGGGGCTGCAAGGGACCTTGCAAGATCATTGGGGCCAACCCCCTGCACCAGGCAGGAAAGATAACCAGGGTAAGATGACCCCAGCGAGGTGATGGTCCAGTCTCCTCTCGAAGATTTCCAGGGTAGGCAATTGCACCACTTCTGGAGTGAGCTTAGTCCACAGTCTGGACACTCTCTGGACTCTAATTTCAAACTCTATTGCATTTGGATAATAAAGTCCCATTTTCCATAAATTATCAGTATTAGAGGGCCGCAGTTCTTCTCTTTGAGGTGGTACCCTAAATTCACACCTACCACAGTTCTCAAGGGAAATCTGGAGCAGTGTCTATCCAGTACCAGGCTCCAGAGACCTATCCTCAAGCTATGAATAAGCTGCCTCTTGAACCAGAAGCTACATAGCCATGTCCACACGGTGCTTTGGGGTGAGCTGACTAGCACTGCTCAGGGAGGGCACCAGTAGTCCCATTCTCCTAACTGGCCCCACTGCAGCATCATGCAGTACAGTGCATACAGTGCAGTGCAGCATGCTTGAGGATATCATCATGGAGCATGCAAAGTTTGGCCATGCAAACATAAGCAAACAGAGAGCGAACCTCTGCGGTCATCAAGAACAGTCCTCTGTTACTGCATGTAACCATGTCATACAATCCCTTTAATAAACATTTTATCCTCGTTCCCTACACAGAAAGCCGTCGACAGGCGCACAAAATTATATTCCAGAATCAAAGCATAGAGTCATAATAATATTAATAGTTTTATTGTATCTTTTTTATGATACTGACTAGAACGCCAGATTTAATTATACTGGATGCAGGTATAAAAATAATCCAATCCTTAAAAATTATACTTTCCTACTACAGTACTGTGTAATTAGTGGAGGTTGCAAATATGATACACCTTTAAATAACACTGGTTTGCAAAATTAATGAAAAAAAAACCACAACTCAGAAGCTAACATTCAGAAATATGCAAAGGGAAATCCAGAACAATGAAAACCCTAAAGCAGCTCTACTGTTTGTACATTCAGATTAATAACAGAAACACAAAGAAATGGTGCCTTTTCAAACAGACTTCCCTGCAGACAGACGTCACTGTTGCAGTTTGGAAGCTGTTCCCAAGATGGTACATCTGGTTTGCTTTCTTATTTGGAAAAAGCCTATGGAAACGTAGAGGGATGAAACCAGCTGATTTCCACCGAATTGCACTGATAAACTAAATAATTTAATAAGGAAAAATATCCTTCCTGTAAGTTAGTTCTTCTGTGTCTACTGAAGAGAAGGAATTTTCAATCAACTTCTATTGGACCCCCCCGAAAGAAAAATTACCCTTTTCTTTTATATTCCATGGGACTTTTCCATATCAGGTGGTTGTATCCAGGTCACTGGACTACACCTCGCAGTGATTACACAGGCAAAAATACCCATTGATTTCAATGAAAGTCTTGACAAAATAAGGATCGGATCACTTGCATATTGCTTCTGAAGACTGTCAGGCCAACACCTCTCATTCTCCCCCCACAGAGGTATTCCCGACATAGCCCCCAAATCAACACATAGGAAAGGTACTGCCCACTCATCGCAAGTCAGTTCTTACAACCGAAAAACCAAATCCTAAACTGGGTTGAGATGTTTATTTCTGCTAAATAAATAAATATTTTTTTGACTTTTTGTTCTGCTGTTTTTGTCCCTCCTCCCCACCCTCCCCCACCATCTGTACGTATCTTTGTCCTGTATTTGAGCCTCAGCAGATTCAGAAACACAAAAAAATAAATACGCTATACAATGGCTCATTGAAACTCCCAAAACAGACATAATATGCTAGACGCCCCCCTTCAAAAGTGGGGGGCTCCATTCTCTTTCCAACAGGGAAGTAAAGCGGAAATTAGAAAGCAGTTCGTCAACTATGATGAACACGCACAAACATCATTTATGATCCCAGAAGATCCTAGCACAGGAGAAATGCGATCAGTCAACGTATAAAATTCACATTCTTTCTCTCTCTAAGAAGGTGCTCCAGACCTTGCACAACAACGTATGTACAATCTCACATAATACAGGGTTTGCTACAACATTAAGTACACTTCTTTAAATTAAATACAATATTAAAGGCAGCAAAAATATCGCACAAGTGTCCAGCGCACAAGACAGAGCTGAAATAATATCTGCAATGAAAACCAAGGTCATCCTGAAGCTGGAATGAGTTGAGGCCTGGATCAAACTCCCATTAAAATCAGAGAAGACTTTTCCTTGGACTTTAATGGAAGTGGGATTAGGTCCCTGGTCTGCTAAAAGGAAAAAACAATTGTCAGCGCGGAAAGCACAGAGTCACAGAAAAGGAAAGCTGGAAGGGACCTCAGGAAGTCATCTATCCCCTGCTCAAGGCAGAATCATCCCTGTCTAAGCCATGCTGAACAAGGAAAAACAAGATTTAAGTAAGAAAGAGCAAACATTGAGTAGGCTGCATGAGAAACCCAGACGGATTTGGAAAAGACATTGGACAAGAATTGGGAAGGAGTGTTTATAAAATATAGCAGGGTTGTGTAACAGCGGCCAAGCCTGCTACGTCCTTCCCTCGTGTTAATGCACCGGTGGGGGAAAGTCCTGTAGAGATACTGTAGGACACACATCATTTGTAAGAGAAAGGTTTCTCTCTAGGATGGTGCAGCTCAGCGCTGTCTTCAGAGGCAGGTTGTAACTGCTGGATAGTAAGGGCTCCTTGCACCCAGCTGCACCCCTGTGTACAGGGAGTGTCTGTCCTGGCATTTGATCACAACGTCAGGACTTTATGGTGAGATGTGGCAACAGCAAATGGCCTAATTAGCTGTGTGGCACAACACTGATGGTGTCAAGGGCAAAGGGCCTTTTGTTCTTCCTATCACCCTATTTTAAGCTCCAACACTTTGTTGGTACCTGAAAAGAGAAGCAGCAGATTCCATCCGTCAAGTAAATAAGAGCCTCAGCTTCAGCCGTGTGTCTTGAACACCCCCAGCAGCTGGGCTGAATATTGGCTGCCTCTCTCAGCCTGGCTGTTGAGGCACTCGGGCCAACACACACACACTTTGCTGTAGATCTGCAAACATCTTCATTGCTGGTTGGTGCACCTCTGGGGAGAAGGAAACACCACCTCAGGCGAACGGCACGTAGCCTGTCCTAGCTCATCTCAGACTGCAGACATCTTTCACGCTCCTTTCTATCTAATCCTCCTCGCCCAGGAAAATAGTGACTGTGACACATGGGAGGGGAGCCAAAATCGCAGTTCTGGGATCCTTAAACATAGAACCTGAGCCCTCAAAAAATGAGGCCGCTTTTCTTTAGGTATGTAACAGAAAGCACCAAAGAATGAAAATGGCATTGGGGAAGAAAGAGTCATCTCGGACTCTTCCTCATCTCTAGACAAGAATAGCACATCACATGCCATTGCCACGTGGTACTTGTGTACAAAGGTGACAAGCAGACAGAAATAGAGATCAAGGTCAGAACTAGATCAGGGATTTGTGTTTAGCTGAAGAGAGCCAGGCGGCAACGCATCACACCCCTGCAATGACGATCAGGACCGTAACCGTCTCACTGGGATGCTGTGCACCCAGCCACCTTTCAGCAGGCTAGCAGAGTTCTGATCAATGGGAATTCGGTGGAATTTGGAAAATTGCATTCTCTGCCTAAACAGTATTTTTATAGTAGGGAAGAAATCAGTAGATCCAGCTGAGAAGTGAACTGGAAGAGGTGGTAGTTTGTTGGCAGCATGACATCATGAAGAATTTCAAGACAAAGGATGAAATGCTATAAATCCTCCCAAATTTCAGTTTATCGTCAAGATCGTATATAAAAAAAAAACATTGCATTTGCTCCATGAGGTCCTGGGTCCATTTGGGCGCCAGTCTGAAGCAAATGGAGCCAATGAAGGATTAATTCCAACATAACATCAAAGATCATCCACGCTCTTCCTCACAAGGATTTACTATAATAATAATAATAATAATAATAATAAGAGTTCTCTTTTGGAAAAGACTTAGTCTTGCATCCCTGCAAGGTGGGTAACTTTGCTGACTCTAACGAGACTGCTCAGTAATTCCAGGCTAACATCCTAAAACATCCAGGCTAACGGGCTAAAAATGCATCCAAAGCCGTGTTTAAAAACAACAAAGAAATGAAACAGAAGAGCTAACCATCAGAGTGTGAGATAACCCAAATCAGGAACAATAAGATCCCATTTCCCGTTCCAAAGCTAAGAACAGCATCCAAGCCACTACAAGGAAAAACAGTGTAAGAATTCTCTGTGATTTTTCAACTGGTTAAAGCAGGGGTCCTGCAACCCTTACTGACAGAGGGAGTCCTGCTAAATCCTACTCAGAGACATCATAATTACTAACTGCACAGCACCCTGTAGGATCAGATTCCTGTGTGGATCGGCAAATAGGCCCCTGCTTGAGATATGCTAAACATTAGCTTGACCCTGCCCAAGGCAGCCATGAAGTTTGGTGGCGTTTCAGCAGGACAAGAAGGGTAGGGGAGCCTGACCCCAAAGAAGTGAGAGCATGGGAGTGTGGCCACACTACTACTTCTGCTCATTAGCTCAAGTTAGACTTGCATGCCATAAATGAGACCCTTCCTCCTTGGATGCATACACCTGTTATGCCTTGCCTACATCGCGGGAGCAAGCAGTAACAGAGGCCAGAAGTCTACCGCCACCCAGTGGAAAGGGGTCGGGGGTTCAGAGTCTCTATGGTAAACAGCTCCTTTCCTGACCAGTGACTCAGGACATGTCTTCCTGGCAGAGTTCACTTGCATTATCTTCACTAGTGCTTCTTGAAGTAGTCAAGCTTGAGTGAGGGCAGCCGTGCCACAAAAGGGCATTCGGGTTGCAATACACATACAACTGCTGGGCTCCCATCTGCAGCGTACTAAGAGAGAAGTTGCCTATCTTTCTGGGCACAGGCAGGAAAAATTGTGGGAAGACACTGGACAATCAGCAGCACTTAAGCAGAGCTCATCTGTGCTTCAGAGAGGGAATAGCAGCTAAGGGGTTGGATGGACCTAAGCTTTAGCCTGCGGAGCAGAACGATTACATTGTAATTAAGGGTTTTTCTTTGTGACTGATAATCATAATAGGAGCAACATTCAGCTTACAACTTGTGTGAACTGGCAGTGAAGACAAGCCGTTGCTGTACTTGATTAACATGAACTGCTCTAAGCATCCACCTATGCAGTCAGGGACCTTTGGCTCAGACCCATGCTGAAGGATGTAATAAATTATCAACTTTGAGCTTCTTTCAAAATGATCAATAGAATTACAAAAGCCCAGCGCGGCATCTCAAAAAATGAAAGGTGTTTGGGGAAACCACAGCGCAGCACAAAATAGAACAGGAGAAAACAACTGTAAAACAGCACTGAGAAACTATTTTGACATTAGACCCACTTGATCGAGAGCAACAGCATTTTTTTTAAATGTTGAAAAACGCTGATATTTTGATTTGCTCAAAAACAATGACAAACTTAACAGAAAAGGGGAAAACTTTTTTGGTGAAAAATTTGAAAAAAATTTGCAACATTTTAGTAAAAAATGTCCAGTTAGCTCCGTGGTAAATGGGTGGTAAATGACCATGAATGAAATGCAAGGGTGGTGAATGATCCTTCACTCAGATTCACCTGTTATTGGGGCTGATGGAAGAAGTCAGTCTAGAATCCTTTACCCTTCATTACTTAGGATCTTGTGCTTTTCTCACAGTGCGTGTAACTCGTTACAACAAACCTGACCTCCAGTTTTGCAAAGCATTCCTATAGCTACCACCAAAATCAATGGCAGGCATTGGGTCCACTCCCTCTTATGCACTGCCCAAAGTTGACATCATCTCTGTCCCATAAATGTTATAACACTTAACCACTTTCCACTTACAGATCTTCAGCAACGTGTTCATCTTTTCAAAGCAATGAGAACTGCTTCCTACATACTTTCCTATAAAAGACTCCATCAAGAAATACCTGATCTCGCTCTTGTTGAAGTGCACTGAAATCCCGGCTGGGATACAGCCCTAGGTAAGGTCCTGCTGGGGACTGCTACGGTGACTATTTACAGTCTAAAGCCACACTTTTTGAACAATACTGTAGATTGGTGGACAAAACACTGCTACATTCAGAGTTTTCTGAACACAAAGAAGATTTTTAAAATCCATTCTGGGAGTTAGCTCCATCTTTGTTTCCCATTCAAACGGAGGAGGCATGGCTAAGCTCCCTGTATGTCTTCACAAAAGCCAGCTTATGAATTCAGCTAGCGTGGCCAGAGGCAGGGCTCAGCTGAGCAGGCATTTTGAGAGACTGATACTTTCCAATAAGAAAATGGTAATTTGTGGGCAATCCAGTGCAGGAAGTGGAACAGGGCACAGAAAAGGAGAAAAGTTTGCAGTGAACACGAACCTCCAACCACAAACAATCGCACAGTGTGTATCTTTGCATGTAGGTTGGCCATAAGGAAAAACAGTAGTCAGACCAACAAGTTACAATACCTGTAAACAAAACACTCCCTAGTGGTTTTAGCTTTAGGGCGCCATCATCAGTTAGTCTGTCTGTACTGATCTACTACCACATGCGCGTGACGTAAGTTAAGAGGTGAAAGAAAAAACTGGAGTGCAGGTTAACTTCCTTGAACTTCTACTTGTGTCTTATATTGCTCTGCATGTGGGCTCCTTCTTCTCCTCGCTTCTCCACCACAGCTGTGAATGGGTTCTCCCAAGGCAGCTCTGCTCTGTGTTGTCTTGAGACTGAAGTCCTCCATACGCGTAAAAGTGAAGACTAAAACTGGCATCAAGTGAGCTGCCAGGTGACAGCATGTACCTGGTGAACACACGGCACGTAACTACGATAACCTTCCACTCCCACTCACTCTGATTAAAAATAGTCTCTTCTTCTGGTTTCATCACTAATAAAGGAAGGATTATATTGACCGGGGTAGATGCATGAATGTCGGGATCCTGGCAAACCAGTGTAGGGAGGATAAAGTCCATTTCTTTCCAGTTCAGGATTTCTTAGATTAGTTGGCTGTATTGGAAAACAGAAAAGAAAAGGCTATTACTTGGGGGCTCTAAAAGCATTTCTTTCTTCAATCCCTAGCACTGAAACAGATGCATATCTGGTTTTGTTCTTTGCTATGGTTTCTGTCCAAGTTTTAATTGATTTTGGGCATTTGTTATTTTATTACGAGACATTTAGGATGCCTACACACAAGCAATGAGTCTGCTGGAGCGTGGTAATGACTGCACTCCAGCAGACTCCAGCATCTCATGCATCGGTGTCCCTACGCTGAAAAATGGCAGCAGGGTCATTTTAACTAAAGCTCGTTCAACAAGCTTTAGTTAAAGTGCCCTTGCCACCTTTTGTAAGCGCAAGGACGCTGATACACAAGATGCTAGGGTCCTTTAACAGCTCCATGGCTCTTGGAGCTGTTTTAACTAAAGCACCTTCCCCCTGCCCCAAA